GAGGGGGCGAGAGGGGGTTGTCAGCCTCCGAGGCGGGAGCCGTGGCGGGTCAGTGGCGGGTCAGCCCCCGGCTTGCTGGCTCTGCAGTTCTTGGTGCCTCGCTCTTCTCCTCCCTACGATGTTCTGCACAGAACATGTGCTGCTTGGAGAGTCCAAACTGACGTCACTGTCGGAGGAGACTGTGGACTGTGGGTCGTCTGTGACCATCTTCATGGAACCAGTGGGGTCCCCCAGGGCAGGGTGGGGCCGTGGGCTTGCCAGGGAGAATCACTCAGTGGGGGGCTCTTTGGAAGAGCCGAGTGCCAAAGACTCCCGCAGACCCAGTAGAATATGGAGGGGGCATCCCCAGTGTTATCCCTCTGTGGTCCAGGCTGAGACCTGGTGTTTCCAAGCTCTCGGTTGCTGACCTCTGGCCTCAAGCCCCATATCAAGGCCTCCCATGCAGCCCGGATCTGGGGACTGATTTGCCCCTTTGGGTCCTGACCCCAGTCGACTGACAGCCCAGTCCAGCCCCGGGGCCTTCACCGCCCTGCGGAGAGCCTAGGGGGTAGGGGGTGAGCCAGAGGACACAGAAGCAGCCGCCATACTATAAAATATTATGTGACCATGAAAATTATCTTTAAAAGCAATTTTAATAATTATCATTTAATATTATTTAATAAAATAATAATTGTTCTTTAATAATAATTCTAAATTATGCTATATTATTAAGTTGTAAAAGTGTATAAATGATACAGTCCATGCCTGCTATTTATATAAAATATGGGAGAGAAGACAGGTTGAAAGAAAATGTAACAAAATGCTTATAGTCACTTAGAGTTTACAAGTAATTTTCTATTTTTCCTGACTCCTAATTTTCTGTGGCAAAAGCATTCACAATTAAACAATGGGTAGAAATACAGTTGTATCTACAGGGGTAACAGGAAAGGAAATGTAAAGTAGAAGATGTAAAAGGACATTTAAAGTCCATGTAACTAAAAGGAAAAAAATTAAGTATGAAGAACTAAGCCCAGAGGGCTGATGTGTGGTTAGCAGTTCAAATGTTCCATTCGTCCATTTTGTCCATAAAGAAAAATGCCGAGGACAGAGGCAGAAACGGTGCTTGTCTGGAACCGCGGGGTACACACCAGCACTGAGTCCTGCATGTGTCACCAAGGTTACCATACACGCCTGCGCCTCAAGACTTTCCCCAGATCACTGCCCATTCGGGGAGGGAACGGAGATGCATCCCCAGGTGCCTTGGTGGCAAACACCACACTATATGCAGGTGCCAGATTGTACTTAGGATTCAGTTCTTATAGGCTTGTTATTAATCGTTATTAAAATATGATCGTTATTAAAATAATCGTTATTAAAATAAGCAGCATCCAGCTTATGCTCTCACCAGAGGGGGAGAATACAAGAAATAACCCAGAAGCAAAGATGGGAGCAGCCAGTGAAACAGAGCACAAATAGCATGAAAGCAGGCTCCTTATTCATCCCCCCAGCATTTCGGGGGCACCTCTCATGCCAGGCCTGTGCTGGAGAGGCCCTGCCCCAGCACCCAGCCCAGGGGAGGAGAGTGGGAGTGGGTCTGAGGGGGGAGATGGGGAGAGCTTGGCCGAGGAAGGTCGCCTAAGGGGAGAGCAGCCCTCCATCTAGGCCCCCTCCAGGCCGTAGCCCCCTCGTGGAATGTCATCCACCAGATCAGAGAAGACGGATGGACCCTTGTTTTGGACAATCAGTGACCGTGCAAAGGTCCCCACGCAGCGTGCTGGGTGCAGGGTTGCAAGACAGGACGGTGGGGAACCATCCCCTGGAGGATTTCGGGGCAAAACAGCTAGAGCTGGCCAGGCTTAGGGCGCACGGCGAGTCACATGAGAGGTGAGGGGTGCCAGCGGCTTCTCGGAGGGCAGGAGAGGAAGGGGCCCTGCAGAGATCAGGCTCAGCTGTCCTGGGGTTATGGGGTGAGCTTGGGCGCCCCCATCAGAGTTGAAGCAAGGGTAGTGGGCCACGTGGGGTCGGGGGAAGGCAGCAATCCCCCCCATTCCCCCCCCACCCCCGTGTGGTCTGTGTGAAAGCATTTAGGGGAGCACGTGGGCAGGACACCACGGGGTGAAAGCTCACAGAGCCTGAGGCTGCTGGTCAAGAGGTCTGGGGTGCTCTCTGTGGCTGCCCAGGATGAGAACGGATGGGCGGGGCCACTGCCAGGAAGGGGCGAAGGGGTGGTCTAGTTGGCCTTGCACGAGGAGGCGCCAGTCACTTCCTCTGAGCATGTGGAGACCCGTAGCCGCGGTGCTGGGCGAGGGCAGGACAGAACCTACCAGCTGCGGGCTTCCAAAACCCTGGGCTGCGATACCCCAGATGGCCATGCGATGGCGATGGAATCCCACAAACCTCGGTCTCCACCTGGGAGAAGTTATTTCCTACAATCTATTGCCTTAATTAACAAAGGCCCAGTTGTCGTGTGGAACATATAATGTAGGTGCAGTAAACACAGTGAACCTGTGCCTGGGGTGGTTCTGGGTGAAGGGCAGGATTCAGGTGGTCCTCGCTGAGGGGTCTTCGGCTCATTGGGGGGGGTTGGGGGAGGGGAGGAGCCAGCCTGGGGTTCCCCTCCCCTCTCTGGCTCAGCCCTGTATCTGAGGTCCTCTGGGTGTCTCTCCTTGTAAATGGCATCTGTGTCTCTGAAAAAAAAAAAAAAAAGTTGGATCAATGTAAAGGAACTTGGCGCTGTCACTGTTTAAAAAGAAGTTAATCATTCAAAGGTGAGTCCCAGTTATTCTATCTCTTCCTTGTCTGGTTGACGTGGCAGGACCTGGAGGATAAGCCCCCTGTGTCAGCTCTCAGGCTCTTGGACTTGAAAGCTCGCTGTGGGGGTGCAGGGCTCAGGTGAGGCCTGTGGAGCTTCCCAGCTTCCGGCCACACTTGTGGCTGTGAGTGAGCCAGCAGGTGTGAGCCGTGCATGCTGGCCTCAACTTGGCCTAGGCCTGGGAGGTGGGGCGGGTTGGGCCTTCAGGAACACCTGGAGGCTGGAGCCCAGGAGAAACCGGAAGCCAGGTCAAGGCACAGTGCAGGTGTGCGGTGACTTTGGTTCTCCAGAAAATGGATTAAAGCAACATGGAGCCAGCCTCGGCCCGGCCAGCCAGGTCTCTCTTCCAGGGCCAAGCCCTGACCACAGGAATCTGTCCCTTGACTCCGTGTTCCCTGGAGCTTCAAAAACATTGTTCTCTTTCCTCTCACGAGTATTGGCAATGTCTTTGCAGAGCTGAGACGCAATGCCAAACACATTACTCTGAGAAATGGCTCCAGGATCCCAATGTCGTAATAACAGCCATCACAGTGTTACCTATTTATCTCTTTTTTGCAAACCTAAACTTTCTGTGAAGGGTGTTGGTGCATTCTGTGGAGTAGCAGGAATTCAGGTCTGCGGTGTGAGTCCCCTCGGGCCAACTGCCAGATCCCACAAAACCACCTTTTTGTGCCTTTTTTTGTGGGCTTGGAACAAGAAAAAGCCACATGGGGAAGCCATTGCTGTCTATTTCTATGTGTCCAGACCTTGTTCACTGCTTAAGGCTCTAGACGCATTTGATAGGCTTCTTGTATCGATCAGTACAAAAACCAGGGCTATGTCCCTGGAAAACCAGCATGCTTTCTTGCTAGGTAAGGACAGCTGCCACCACCATTTCCCTTTCCAGCCCTGGCTTTCAGGAAGCACAATGGTGTAATTGTGACTCCTAGTGACCTCCCCTCCATTTCACCATTATCTTTTAGTTTGTTTTATTATCGTGTGTTTCCTAGTTCTTTGTGAAAACTGGCAGTTCTGCCTCTGGGACTTATCCAGAGGGAAGTTATGAACAGGTGGGACTCCCTACATCCGCAGGGTGACGTGAACAGATTCCTTGACCTGATGTGAGAGGGTGGTGCGCAACACACCTGAAGAGGTGTGGGCCCCAACCCTAACTCACATACAGCCCTGTCAACCAGCCTTGCTCCCCTCCACACAGATTACTGCAACCCAAAACAATCTGTTAAGGGTGACAGAGCCACTTCAGAGA